TCCCTATTAAATGTGCTCACCCGGCTTCCAACAGCCAGCTCTCCCACAGCAGGGAGCCCAGTGCCCTAAGAGCAGACCTCAACCAGTTATTGGTGGGAGTGTATAAGCACCCCAATTTTCTCTCCCTCGGCATGGGGGTCACTGAGGGTGCGTGTCTCCCAGAATCTTCTAGTGAGTTTGAGCTTCAATCGCCTCCAGCGGAAATGGCTGGAGAAGGTGCCTTTCCCGGCCATTTCCCCTCCCCCCTTTCACTTTTAGAGCTTTCTGCACCTTCCAACTAAATACTTCGCTCTCCAATCCTTGGGCAGGCTCTGCCCCTGGGGGAAGGCACCCTGAGAAGAATGGCCCCTTCTTGGCGTTCCCTGCCTCATTGGCTTTCTGCCTTCCACAGTAGGGTCCTTTGGGCACCGTCACGCTTTGCCTGGTCCTCTGAGCCCATGGGTTTCTTCCACGGAACTCTAAGTGTTCTAGAGCCAAGTCCTCTCCATCGGCCCTCTTTTAGGGACGCGCTGTTGAAGTTACGCGTTTGCGGACTAGAGGAAGCTTGGCAGGTTGGTAGCGTACATCCATGAAGGCAGTTTGAAAAGGCTAGCATTGTGCTACTAGCCAAAGGAAGCTATTAAATGCCAAATCCTTAAAATTAACTAAGAAAAAAACCCTGTTCCTCAGTTACCCTGCCAATGTCCAACGGTTCTCGGCAAATCCTGGTGAACCTGCTGGCCAATGTGTCTGTCACCAGCAGCGGTTCTATCCGACAGCAGTGGCTGGGGACCCAAATGGAGGCTGTGGTCTGATCACGTGCCTTTCTGTGCAATTCACCAAGGCGCTAAGAGATTTCCAGGACAAAGGGGATGTTGGACAAGAGCCTGCGCTCTGTGGTCATCCAAGAGCAAGCACTGTTGCCCAAGGCCAGCAAGACCGATGACCCATAGCTGAGCATTTACACAACCATGTCATTTACCATTTGACTTAACCACAAAAAAGAGAAAAAAGAACTGCAGTTTCTCGGCCAATCTGAGTCTCCTGTTACGCAGCATTGAGTGTTCTGAAGGTCATGTCCTGCGTAGCCTACCCAACACTCACAGGCACGAGAGGGAAGGGCTCTCCGGCAGGAGTGTAAGACAAATCCAGTCCACTCACCAGGAGCCGAATGGCATGAAGCCAAGAGCCTATGACTGGCCTTTTGGGTAGGGAGGGGAAGCAGTATGTTCTGGCATTGAGGTAGAAATTATCTCATCAGAGTTGAATTTAGGCTTGGACGAGTCTTCTCTTTCACAGACAAGACCTAACATTTTGGAAGTGGAGAAGGCAGAGGATAAGAGTCATGTGCCAAATTCAATCTGATGATAAGCTCCCTGAGGTCAGGGTATTTGGTGTGTCCAATTTTATTCTCCAAGACAGCGTTTCTCAACCTGAGGGTCGTGACCCCTTTGGGGGTTGAAGGACCCTTTAACAGGGGTCACCAATTTATAACAGTAGCAAAATGATGACAGTTATGAAGTAGCAACGAAAATAATTTCGTAGGTAGGGGGGTCACCACAACATGAGGAACTGTATTAAAGGGTCATGGCAGTAGGAAGGGTGAGGACCACTGCTCTAAGACTTAGCTGTGCACCTTGGCTGAGAACATGGAAGAAGCTCAGCAAATGTTTATTGGCTACATGAATGGATACATGAATGGTGAATGAGCAAGCGAAATCGGAACTTGCTTCCATGAACAATCAGAAAGGCACTGGGGGTGGGGGGCGGTGGAGGGGTGATGCTGCGGGATTGTCTGTCACATCCCTACTTTCTTTTTCTTTCCTTTTTAAAAACAAACTGGTAGATTTGAGTGTCCGGCTCCCAGTGTTTTAGTAAGACCAGAGGCTCTTGAGCTAAGAGAGAACTCAGAGATGATCTAAATTCAACCTTCTTATTTTATGAATGAGGGTAACTGGCATCCAAATGAGCCAGACAACGGGTGCCAGGCCACAGGCTTCATTCATTGTCCCCGACCCGCAGGAACATCAGCGCAGACCCTGGAGGAGGGAGTGGGAATTGAGGGGAACAAGAGACACGAGAAATGGAGACAAGACAGTATTCTGATCAAGTCTCTCTTTATTGAGTGAAAGGTTGCAGTCTATATAGGCCAGGGGAAGGGAAACACCCGTTGCACATGTAAATTAAGCCACTTTGGTAATAGACCAATCAAGGAGTCCAGGGAGCGCGCCCTCAGTAACGGTTTACAGTCTTCAACCAGGTACGCCAAGTGACGTCATTTTATGCAAATCAGGTGCAGGCACTAGATATGTAAATAGGGTGAAGACAATCTCCTACCCAATCAAGGGGAAGCAGGATATAGGTGCTTTGTCACACCATGTATGGAAACCCCCTTATCTGTTTCTAGGCAGACTTGAAGGCTAAACTCAGCCCTTCAGAGGGGAGATAACATAATCACAAAACTATGTCACGTAGGCGGGAATGGAAAAGTACTGCAAGCTCTGACAAAATATAGTGAAGATTGAGCCGAATGGCCCCGGACAATTCATGGCAGGCTACTTCTAATGTTCTCACGGCTGGTGGGATGGACATCATATCTGAACAGTAGCTGAGACATTTTTCAAATAAAATTCTAGGGTTTTATTATTATTTTTTGAATAGACAGTTTGTTTCCATGGCTCAAAATCCCAAGGGCACAAAAGAGAAGACTCCTCTTCTTCCTGGGTTCCCAGCCATCCATCTTCCTCCCTACGAGGAATCGTTATTACTGGTTCCTTTTGTCCTCTTTCAATAATGATCTATGCGTCTAAGAGAAAAAAAGCGTGCGCTGTGTATCTCTTGTGGCTGGCGTGGTGGTAGGGGTGGTGGGTTTCTGAATCGCAGAGCCTGTTTGGCCCCTTGCTGGATCAATCAGTCACGTATCAATGCACGAGCTTCGGCTGTTCTTTCACGTTGTCCCTCGGCCAGAGCCTTCTAGTGATGCTCTCGGTCTGCTCCCGTGCACTGGCCTTCCTCGCCTCTCCACTTGGATTCCGTTCCTAACTTCCCTCGAGGCATGCTTCTGAAACCTTCCATTCAGCTTTTCTGTCCTCAAATGCATCCCCACTCAGTGCTCAAAAGGCCCTTCCTCTTGGAGGTCATTTTCTGCATCAAGCCCTTCCATCCCTTCCATCCCGTGTTTTCTGAACAAAGCCTAAACTTCTTTGCCTGAAAGTCACAGCTTGTCCCGACCTGCCAGTCCCACCCGACTGTCCACAAATGTGCATACCTTCCTCTCCCCTTTGAACTGCCCGTTCCCACGGCTTAGTATCCCCTCCCCCAAATTATCTCCCTTCCCAAATCCTACCCCTCTTTCTTCCTTTCTTTCTTTATTTGTAAAATCATTTTATTGGGGGGGGGGGGCTGGTACAACTCTTATCACAAGCCATACATCCATCTGTTGTGCCAAGCACATTTGTACATTTGTTGCCATCATCATTTTCAAAACATTTTCTTTCTACTTGAACCCTTGGTATCAGCTTCTCATTTATTTCCCTCCCTCTCTCACCCTCCCTCCTTCATGAACCCTTGATAATTTATAAATTCCTATTATTTTTTCATGCCTTACACTGACCAATGTCTCCCTTCACCCACTTTTCTGTTGTCCATCCCCCTGGGAGGGGGTTATAGGTAGATCACTGGGATTGGTTCCCCCTTTTTTCACCTACCTTCTCCTTATCCTCCTGGTGTGCTGTACTCTCAATATTGGTCCTGAGTGGGTTATCTGTCCTTCCTTCCCCTCTTTCATGGCCTGCTAAAAAGCCCCATCCTCTTTGAAGTCTTTCTTGCCTCAGATCCCCCATGGAAATGCTCCCTTCCTTGCTGGCCCAGCTATAGCAGGGCATCTGTTCATCTCTGCATGGAAGTGAGCTGCTCCCATATCCTACTCTCTGTAGACTGAAGGTCCAATGGAGGCAGGGACTGTTTGTGTTGTGCACCTTTGCCCTCAACAAAAGCTCCACTGAATCAAAACAGCAGATGAGAAGTTGCCACTATTGGTAGAAATTGGTTTGGAATCAACTGATATCATTTCTGAGCTTCCCAGAAGGGACATTTTCCTTCACATAATCTAGATCAAAAGGGTCTTCTCTCTTTCCCTCGGGAACTGTGGAATTCTTGCATCCAAAACAACTCTTGGGAGTCTTTTAGTGAGAGCAGTGGTTCTTCAAGTGTGTTCCCTAGGCTGGCAGTACTAGCAACCTGGGGACTTACTGGCAATGCACCTGCTCAGGTGCCACCTGAGCCCTGCCGAGTCAGAAACTCTCGGATGAGGCCCAGCCATCTCTGTTGTAACAAGACTGCCAAGTGGTTCTGAGGCTCCGTGGAAACCCAACATCTCCCCTCACCAGCTCGAGGGGAAGGGAGAGCAGCCAGACACATGTTCTGCAGGGTGACGCTGACAGTTCAGAGGACAGGCTCTCTGCATGTCAAGACCCTGAGAGAGCTCTCACTCTCTGTATTGAAAATCGCTAACTGCTCTTCCTCTTCTATCGAGCCCCTCAGGGAACAGCCTGTCTGAAGAGGAATGGAATCGCCTGTTTTCAATAAACCGGTGTGTTGGGGCATTGTGTTTCTTGAGAGCGCATATCGACTGTCTATGCATTGAAAAAGACAACACGATTTTTCATCAGGCAAGGAAAGATGTAACAGATTTATTGGGTTTTGTGAAGACTGATTGCATTTCAGTGAAGGTTGAAAATACAAAGTTGTACCTTTGTGTAGCTGTGCATTGTGGCAATAAGACCCTTAGTCTCATTAGAATTTATAGCACTCTTCAGAGAATCAAGCAAAGCTCTGCCTTGCAGGGTTGACAAGAAGTAAACTACCCAATCCTTAGCCTCCGAGGTACACGGACGCGAAGCCACCATTGTTTGTGGACTCCAGTGACTTCAAGCACGTCAGCATTGCGCTGGAAGGCCCCTGGACTGACGTGGAGGTCAACCTGGTTGAGCGAATGTCTTGACTCCGTCAGCGACCTTGGTTGTCTGCAGGTGCTTTTCTGTATCTGACTTAAAAGACCCCCGAGAGCAGTTTCTGTTCCCCTGTAGATGGGGAGATAGAGCTGGCCCTTTCTTGTCTCTCTTTCAGAAGGAACGGGAAATGTTTGCTGAAGTAGATGCCTACGTGCCTGTGGAAAAAGTGGCAGAGGTACTTCTGGAACCTCTCGCCCACAAAGGCGTAGATGATGGGGTTGATGCAGGAGTGTGTGTACAGGACCACTTCCGTCACTGCCAAGGTCAGGTGCAGCTGTTTGCTCTGCTCACAGTTGTTGTCCGGGAGGATCCCTTGAAAGGCCAAAAGGAGCAGAACCAGGCTGTAGGGGGTCCAGAACAGAAAAAAGACCACCATGATGACAAAAATGAGCCGGATGGCCTTGGACTTTTGTCTACTGGGGCATTTCAGCAGGGCTCTAATGATTCCTGAGTAACAGAAAGCCAGAATGAGGAGAGGGAGCACAAGACCCAAGATATTCATTCGTAGCGCATGGAAGCGTTTCCAGGTATCTTCCTGACCCTCTGGGTAATGAGGGCCACAGACAGGGTCTTCAGCATCTCCTTGGACCTCATGGAAGATAAATTCAGGGAGGGCTGCCAGCCCAGCCAGGGCCCAGGTAAAGATGCTGGTTATGATACCAAAGGCGACAGTCCGGGTTCGCAGGGCAAATACTGCGTGGACAATGGCCAGATACCTGTCGATTGTCAAGAGGATGATGAAAAAGATCTCGCCATACAAGCCTAGGTAATACAACCCCGTGATGAGCTTACACAGGGGGTGGCCAAAACCCCACTTTCCCCATCTAGCATGGTGGATCCAGAATGGAAGGGTGGCTAGAAAGAGCAAGTCAGAAATCGCCAGGTTGAGCAGGTAGATGTTGGTCATGACGCTGAGCCTTCTGTATTTGGCGAGGATCACCACCACCACCGCATTGCCCAGCAGACCCACAATGAACACCAGGGAATACAGCGGGGGCAGAAACTGGGCCAGCAGATCCTTGATATTGATGGCCTCACACGGCTGTTCCTCGTCATTGTACTCGTAGGGTGTGGTCCAAACACCCTCAACTTCAGTGTCAAGCTCATTGATGGAGACCGCCATGTTGCTTGTCCCTGTGGCAGAAGAAGAAAAAGACAACCCCCACATTAGAGATGAACCGTCACCGTTGAGAAAGACACTGGCTCGGGTTTTCATCTACTGAACAAAAACGTCATGTCTGATAAACCGCCTAGACTTTTTAGAGCAGCAGTTCTCAACCTTCCTCCCTCCGCGACACTTCAGACAGTTCCTCCTGTGGTGGTGACCCCCAACCATGACATTATGTTCGTTGCTACCTTATCACTGTCATGTTGCTACTGCTATGAATCCAGCGACCCTTGTGAAAGGGTCGTTGGACCCCCCAAAGGGGTCGCGACCCACAAGTTGAGAGCCGCTGTTTTAAAGGTTCCTTGGCATACATTTTAAAGGTATATTGGAGATTCCTTGGGGAAGGACGAGGTAGGAATGATCTGAAGCTATAGATGCTGCCACAGTCCACGATGGGAAAGGAATGGGATCGTTGTGGAACCATGGGAGAGAAAAGGGATATTGATTTCGGAAAGCCTTTGAAGGGAGACATATAAAATAGTCTGGACAGCCAACCCTAACCCATTGGCTGTTTACAATAGTAAGAAAAATAAGAATGCTTGCTATTATTGTCAATACAGTGAAGGTATTTCACATTTTGTATTTCACCATTCATAGATGACTTTCAACATCATTATTTAAAAACAAATAGTTACGTATAATACTAATAGTGATGTGATGATGGTTATCAAAAAATACCCTTCTCTGTATCCATTCTTCCTCCTATGGAATCTTCAGGAGTTGTATTAATTCTTTTCCAAAATCTTCTAACAAGTAAGGTGGGGTTAGATCTTCGGCCTCTTAGCTACTTCCAATTCTTTCATCCCTAGACCCAAATGCATTTATTTTCAAATTCAAAGTTTAAAGACTTGGCTATCGTAGCTATTATATTCATTCTAATCATAAGCTGCATTCACCCGGGATGCTTGCCCTTCCTGCCCCTGGTAATGCTCAGAGAAGCCCATCATGAGCTTAGAGCAAGCTCACCAAGGACCTTTCCTACCCAGAGGGCTCAGCAGGAGAGGAAGGCCAATGGGCTGTCTTATGAGAGTTGATATCTTTGAGATTGTAAGCCCTAATGGCCGGCACCTACTTTTCTTAAAGTTATAGATTGTAATGGAGAAGAAGGAAAAACAGCAAGAAAAGGTGCCCCGTAAACTAGTTGCCATCGAGTTGACCTTGACCCAGGGTGAATCCATGTGTGTTAGAGTAAACTGTGCCCCAAGGGCTTTTGCAGGGCTGATGTTGATTTGGGGGAGTAGATTGTCAGGCATTTGTTCTGAGGCAGCTCTGGGTGGACCCGAACCTTCAACCTTTCAGCTAGCAGTCAAGCATGCTCACTATTGGTACCACTCGGGGACTCCCTAGTTGATCCATGCTCCACTAGCTCAGAGGGAGTTCTGCTTGCATTCTCGAATCTCTGAGGAAGGGATGGGTGAGAGGACATGAACGTATATGCCCACAGGCATGCTCCAGGAAGTCGTAGAAACTAAATAACAGGAGCCAAGAGGAAGGATTTGTCTTCCCCTCTTAATGGAGAGCTGAGATCCCCCAGGTCATCACCAGCAGGGTTCTGAATGTCAAATGGCGTGAGAGGATAAGTTTTATTCAACTTCAGTTTTAAATTAGCGTGTCGCTTCAGCAAAATGAAGAAAATCACTATAGTGAAACCACAGCGTCTTCTGCTTCGGGTGGCAGGTTGCCTCTGTGGGACTTCTGCTCAGAGGTCTACATTGAGAAAAACGTCGAGGATCTTTTGAGTCAGGAGCCAACTCCTGATGACTAGTTACATGGGGTCAAAGGAAAAATGCTCATCGGGTTTACATCTGCCTTCCTGGTCCAAATAGAGAGAAATCCTGAGGTCTGACATAGCCAAGAGGTTTAAATTGAGACTTTTAAAAGTGGCCTTTTGCAGTTTGGATCAATGGTACAGTAACAGTAAACAAACAACTGAAACAACAACAATGAAGAAAAGTACAGGGAATCAACGTTAGAATCTCTCCAGGCAGAGTTGACCACTGTTAGCATGAATACTCTCTGTGCAGGTATGCAGGAGCCCTGGTGTCGCAGTGGTTATGCATTGAGCTGCCAACCATAAGGTAAGCAGTTCGAAACCACCGGCCACTCTGTGGAAGAAAGATGAGGCTTTCTACTTCCGTAAACGAGTTAGTCTCGGAAATCCACAGGGTCAGTTCCACCCTGTTCTACGGGGTCGCTAAGAGTCAGTATCAACTCGATAGCCTTGAGTTGGGGTTTGGGGTTATGTAGGTATGTGCCCAAGGGCATACAAGTTGTGGAGCCTTGGTGATGCTATCAGGTAAGCGTTGGACGGTTAACCTCAAGGTCGGCAGTTCAAAGCCACCAGCTGCTCTGTGAGAGAAAGATGAGGTTTGTGCTCCAATAAAGATTCACAGCCTAGGAAACCTTTCGTAGGGTGGCTAGGAGTCACATGCGACTCGGTGGCAAGAGACTGGCACACGTTTTACCAAAATAAGGTCACCCTGTTGTAGCTGGTCCACCAACATTGTCAGGCCGCACCAGGCAGCTGCACCATGTGAGTGACATGTTTTAGTTTAGCGGGAAAAGGAGTCAAACATTTTCATTCTAAGTGGCTTAACCCTTAGCCCGATCCATTCGTAGAAATGGTGGCTTTTTGACTCTCCTTACCTTTGCCCACGGCCAGTTGACAATGTCAGCTTCTTATCTCCCCCCTTGGTTCTCTATACGATGGCAGCTGAGAGGTGGGAGAGCAACCAGCAAGGCATGGGATCCTTGCTGTAGGTGGCTGGTGTGTGGGGAAGAGGGGCCACCTGGTCTCCACCTGAGCTGTTCTGAAATCGGCTTCGATAGTGGATGGCTCAGGGGCCCACCGCTCCTGTTTTCTCTTCTCAGCCTTGCCTGTGCCTAGGGAGCTTTTCCCAGCTGATGAGAGGTGACCCCTGCACTCTGTGCCCCTTCTCCCCAGCGGGTGGGGATTGGGCAATCACGCTCCTCCTTGGCTCCAAGGGACACTCCTGAGTGCAGACTATCTGAGGGAATTGCAGCAAGTTCATGGGAAATGCAGTGAAAAAGAGAAGGGCATTTTCCCACCAGCTCTTGGAAACCCCCTGGGATATGTCACGTTCACGGCAACCTCGCCAGCAAGCACGTCATAACGATCTTACTAATTAACATGGCAACATCAAGGTCTTGCTAATTACCATGGCGTTCCCAACTTAGATGTGCTTCTGAAGAAACATCTGCAGATGTAGATTTCTCATCTGAACTTTTCATTCTCAGGGGCATTAGCCCTGGTGAATATGGAGCTGGGCTCTGTCCTGTGAAAGGCGTCCCAGGCTTGCCACAGAGGACAGATGCATCAGATGAGAGCTTGCTTTGCGCTCGCTCCTCCAGGTTGGTGAATCAGACCTTAGAGATTCGTGTTGAGAGAATCTAGTCAGATAACACTAGGGGGTGCAGAGCACCACTCCTCTGACCCCAGGGAGCATGAAAAGAGAAGCGGTGGTTATGGAGGGAAGCAGTTCCCCCATTCTCCCCAGCTGGGTTTTGGTGCATTGAGAGGTCTGAAGTGCTGTTTGCTAAGTCGAGGGGACCCCTGAGAGCACCTCTACAGCGCAGCTCCCTAGCCACCCGAGGAGCCAGGTGATGGTGAGCGAGAAAATCAGAGATACAAGTACAGGCGTATAAAGGGCAAAGGATGAAGATCACCATAGTGAGGAAGATTATTGGCAAGTCATCTCATTCTTCCTTCTTTTGTGTTTTTGAAAGTTGCAATTGTGTGTGTGTGTGCTGGTAAGACGTTTTTGGAAATGCAAATGGATTGAAGTCTAGGCCAATGACAAGAGGAAGGCTTTGCTCCTCAGAAGGTGAAGCCACCTGTTGCAATGTGCTTGGAGAAGCCTGAAGCCAGGGTCCCATGAGGAGAAGCGTTTGGGGTTTATCTGGGAGGTGTTTTGTCCTTGTGGGTAGCCCTAGTGAATCTTTGTTAGGAGTGTGGCTGTTTTTCAATAGCTGAAACCCAGGATCGATGACCCTATAGAGACAACAGGTAGAATAAGGCTTCCTGAGGGGTAGGGTGGGGGAGCAGGGCAAAGGGGAGCTGATATCAAGGAGTTCAGGAAGAAAGAAATGTCTTGAAACCGACTGTGGTAGCAATTGTATAATACCGCTTGATGTGATTGAGCTATGGACTGGAGTGATATCTCTGTCAGTTTCCAGTAAAATGGTTCTAACTATCTGTCTAAGTGGATCTCGTATAGATGTATATGGATAGAATGACCAGTAGCCTGGCTCTCTTCTTCTTTGGGTGGGGCTGCTATGCTCCCTGTGGACCATGTGGACACCACGTCCCACGAGGCCTCCAAATTATCCATCCCCTCATTTCCTCTTCTCCTCTCTCGGCTGCAACTCTTACTGCTTCCAGAAAATTCTGGCAGCAAGGTATAATCACAAAACCCCTGCTCCTCCCTTGAGAGGCTCCGTTCTTTCAGCCTGTGTGTTGCCATGTCTTGATAGGGAACGTTTCCCTTGTCCCCGGGTGATCTCCAGAGAGCACCTTCTCAGAGCAATCACCCAAACGTCTCTCTGTTTGAAGCAACGGTGACTACTGCCCGGGACCCTCGACCTCTCCCCACCTCTGCAAACTGGGGTCCCGCCGAAGGCATCATTCAGAAAGGCTGGTTGAACACAGACACGCTTGACACAAAATCATCACACTGAAACCACAGCCCCCGAGTGGAAGAGGTGTCCAGTTCTCAGCGTGGATCAAATAATTCGCGGCATGGTCAGAAACATCCTTGGTGTGCGTGGTTTGGTTTTTGCTTGGTTTTCCTTTTGCCAACCACCATCTGGGAACACAAGCCACCCCCGGTAGAAAACAGTCTCTGGGTTCTGGGTGCTTCTGTTCTTAACTGAAACCACCATGAGGTGCAAATCGATACTCTGAGAGCCATTTGCCTTTCATACAAATAGGCTAG